TCCGGCAGTTTTTAACTGAGCTTAGTGACACTCCGTCAGTGCTACTCAGGGCTCAAGTCTTGTAGATATTTTGAAGTGTATCAAAGTGATGAGGCTGTAAACCAGCTCCTCATATTAAACGTTTTTAACGTGAGAATAAAACATTCGTTCATTTATTAATGTATCTGGGAGTGTTTGTGATGAGATATATGGTAATTGTATCTGAGACGTCTCTAGGGCTGATGGTGATCTTATGGTCAGGCTACCGAGATGGAAGTTTCGGAAATTCTATGGAAACCTTAATTTCGCGAAAGAGACGGGAGCATCGTTGAGGGAAGACAAACGGAATAAGAGGCTTAAGCTGGTTTATTTAGTGACACCACGTAGTGCGGGGGCCTCTCAGGTGATGTAGTTTTGCGGGATTCGGCCTCCAGGAGAAAGTTTTTGTGAGGCCAGAACGTTTGTGATTGTCCGATGTGGGCTGGGGAAGGTCAAGGAAAGCAACTTGAGGGCTGCTCGAAGGGCCTGTCCAGCTTCTTGGATAATTTGTTAATTTATGGAAGTAGGCTCGAGTCCTTAAAATCTCCCGGTGAACCGAATTTCTTCATGTGTGATGGAGATGGTCACAAGACTCCTGCCCCATCATTTACAAGGAAAGTGGATTATATCGAGCACTCCGACGGAAGAGGTGGGGGAGAACTTAGTTTTGAGGATATCTTCAAAATCATTGGGGATTGTGGAATCTGGACCACAATTAGATTTGGATCTCGTCTGAGAGGTAGAAAGGGCGGAAAGCCACGGCAGATTGCATGCCATAGACACTAAGAAGGATACGGTGAAACAGCGATGTTTGTTGCATAGTGGTGGGGGATCTGATCAGAGTTTCTGGGCTTACCTGCAGATGGGTTTTTTCAGGGGAGACACGGTCATTTTTTGACTGCTAAATGAGAGCCGAAATAAATCGCCATTTGGGGAGAAGTGACGGCAACATAAATGTTGCACAGAGGTGCGCACCGCTCATGAAGGCTCATAGCAAGGAAGGTTCCGTAAAGTTAAATTCTTCATCTCAAGACTTGTGAGCTCAGAAGGTTTATCCCGGTGTGGTACCTGTAAAAGTAAGAGAGCGGGAATCGGTTGAGAATACGCAGGCATCGTTGGACAAGAGTCATTTTACTTTTTTGACGTTGGACTGATAATAAAGCACACACATAGGTACACATATAAACCATCTCTGTCTGCCAACTGGGGATAACTGTCGCCATGTTGGTCGTAGAAGTTGAGATGGGTCACTGGTCGAGCAACATTTCGAACACTTTTTACCTTTAGCACTTTTTGTTTGCGGTTACTGTAGTAGATAATTATGACTCAGAACCACGAGAATAAATGCGACAGATGAAGTCTCAAACCCCCAGAAGCCATGTCATGTTTTGTCAACGCTAAACTCAGCATACCTACCCTCAAGAGGAAATGTCAACCTAGTTGTGCCCGCGTCGAAGTGACGAAAGGACCCGGGTTTTCTTATGGGAACTCTCAGTAAGTGGGCGCATCTCATATCTGAAGGCATCCAGGTCTACGTTTTGTCTTCAGATATCACTCTAGCCACCAAGAGTTACTGAAAGTGGTGGCTCGGTGGTGTAGGTGGGCCAAATACTTGAAGATCATGTGCTGTTGAGGAAAGGTGCCAACCAGCATGCGGCAAAAGTACTTGTCAACCAAGGGAGCAACAGCAGTACGGTGGGAGTGCAAATGCAGTGCTACTTTATCCGAGGCGTTTCAACTATTTTGGTCTCTTCATAAAAGAGAGTGATAAGACTGTAGTTGAATCTAACGTTTATCATGGAGAGTGTTCGTCGTGGAACTCTGCCGTAACAAGCATCTGTAGTCCTCGCAGTTTGCAATTTCAAGAGAACATTGGGTGAGCATTTGGGTGCGTCCGGCATCCAGCCAACTTGAGTAGGTAACATTTAAACAAATACATATCCATCCTCTGCTTCTTCAACCAAGTACCAACACTGGCGGTCACACGAGTTTCATATTGTAATTAATAACACTGTCATCCTTCGCCCATTCTTTTTGATCCCCTCTTCTTCTGCGACCATACCACCTTTCGCGTTACGCTTAGGATAACCCTTTAGCACCAACTTTGACAGAAGAAATGAAAAATGCTCGTCGATTCTATTAGCGGCCCCGTTACTCTTCCAAGGAAACCAACCTTCCGCTTGGCAGGAATCACCAGTTAGCTAACCAGGGCATTCAGAATCGTCATCATATAGACTGAAAAGACCTATCTAACCAACGAACAAGCAAAATTGAGGAACGTTTCGGGCCTCAAGACCGAAGTGCATGAGTTCGAAAACGATGACTTTCCTTTCCTCTCGCTGCTGGTTTTGCAGTAGCAGAAAATGCTTCGGTGTATACATGCCGATGATTTCCCTTTCCACTCATGCAAAGGGTCACTTTGAGTGCCATATCCATACGGCCGTTCCATGCTTCATGAGGGAGGACTAGCGTTAAAACGTATCCAAATGGTTGCCACTAAACCTGTAACAGGTCATACCACCGTTCCTTATGAAGGCAATCAGCAGGGATAAGCCACTTTTCCTTGTTTTGTCATGAGAAAATAGGTGGTTTAATCCTGGCTTTAGGTTTGTTAGCGGAAGCATTGGCCAGACCAATTTCTGTACTTTGTGCAAGACTGCTAAGTCTTAGGACAATCAAAAGACCCGAAAGGCTCTGGGATTCATTTCCGCGAGGAGTGCCGTTCATTCCGAACAGTGATCATCGACCAGAGCTTGCCAGGCTATGCGTCAGCAGCTTCTTCGGTGGCCATGTTAGCGGAAAAACTGCATCTTCGTAGAAATATTTGCTCCAAGGACTGGCACTGGCTAACTGCATACCACCCTTTTCACTGAATCGGGTGGCTACCATTGCATTTGAGCAGCCCCCTCATTGAAGTCAGGGTGAATTCTGCGTCTTCACAGAAACAAGATGCATTTGTGCACTCCTTCAAGGTGCAGTTCTAGGCTATTTCTTGTTCCCCACCCAGGCAAACGACCTGCTCATGCAGGTGTCTTCTGAAATGGACCCCTCTACTCAAGATGTATAATACCATGTAGAGAAATAAGAGGCGGTGAGACAGACTCAGTCCGCAAGGTGATTTGATCCCACCTCAACACTGGGCAGGCTAAAATGGACTAACCTTCACCCTTGACACGTATACTGTATGATGCGCAACGTTAAAATTATGGAGCGTACAGCTGAGAGAATCGTCGGCAAGGAAGGCTCTTTGGTCCTCATGGCATCATATCTTATGCTGACTCTGACAAAGATATATTCTATGAGGATCTAGCTTCTGTAACCCTTCTATGTGGCTTCAGACAGTACGATTGCGGGTGTTTCCACCGAATCTTGCACACTTCCACATGGCGTCATACAGAATTTGAGAATGTAGTGTTTTCTACTCCGATCCCAAAAGGTATGAACCATTAAGAACGCGTTCAGAGGCGCTGCAAAAAATATGTAGATGAACTAAAGTTCAAGATATGCGAATAGGGTAAGCGAGTACTAGATCTACATCCTTTGTAGCAGAGACGCCCGCGAGGTGACCCAGTAACGAAGACATTCTAAGTACTCGGGGTCACTCACCTCATCATTTGCTTAAGCTAAAGTCTAACACGAATCTTGTAGGAAACGCCTAGAAGAAAGGACTTGAACACAGTAAAACGGACATAAGGCGTAACTCCTACCCCTTAAAAACTGCTAATGCTTGGAGCACTTCCATATCGAGGTTGTTCAGGTTGCATCACCAGAGTCCTTCAAACACAAGTCCGATACCCACATTATTTTATGGCATGGGGATGCACAGCAAGTCGCCGGCAACCTGATTTCATCTTATTCCTTTGCGGTCCATCTGTACATATGAGTTATCAGACGCAGGAACCATTACTCCACTGGTTCTTGCCTCGGTAGCCCGTTAACCGAAATCTTCTTCAGCGAAACACTTCAAACAAGGAACTTGTTTCGTCAAGACAGACGTGTGGTCGAAGTGACCATTGTTTACTTCTACTGAAACTTGAAGTTTGAGGTTTATTTCGTTTGTGTACGGCGACTATAATCACCGTTTAATTTAGCCTCATACCCACCTGTAAGACAATTCAGTTACCACACTCCATTAACAACATCACTTGTATTCCAAATTTCCCTACTATGATCCTACTTGCCTCTTCTCCCCCTTTTGACTGTTTGATTTCACCCTTTTTATTAAGGGTCCCTTTATTTTCCCATTTACCGTCTTTCCTGAATCTACCCAGGTTTCTCAACTCTTTAGGAATTTCCCTGGTGTGAACTTGACAGACACGGAGGTCAATCACTAATTATTCAAACTTGTCATATACCCACAAATACGGGACCGAGAAAGAACACAGTAACGTAGTCGGATGAAATAGTATACTTGCGAGGTCTCTCCAAGGTACCGGTGCGTTCCAACTAACAGGCTAGAGGGTCGATTACGAGCAGTGCAACGTAACACGACAGTGTGTGGAATGGCGAGGATGCTCAACCGTGTGCCTTAGGCTCAGCGAGTCCAGTCGAACTATGAAGGTCAGCATCAATGTTGATTCTTGTTGAACCTCAGACTATTGATTCTGGAGAATTGTGTGACGCTACAACTCTTTTCGTTTGGCTTATTTTCAATTTGTTCTTCTGCCAACTTCCTCTCTGTCGTTTTCGTTGGATATCTTTTCACTCTTCCCATCTTGTTTTCACGGGCAGTTCAACTAACTGCTTGTTGACACGAACTCCAAGAAACTGATCTGAACTACAGTCATTGGAAAAATCAAATAACCCCTACGAATTTAATCAGCAAGCAACCACGTGTCGGTAATACCAGGGATACAGCAGGTTGGTGGGTAGACTTGCTGCATCGGAATCCACCAGAAACATAGAACTGTTGTGCAAGATCTAGAAGAGAGCACAAATAAATGTCACAAGGTCATAAGAAGATATTGGATATTAGACTGTACATTTGTACAGGTGGAGAGAGCAGAATATGACTGTTGCGCTGCAGCACATGACTTGCTTGAAAAATATTGATTTATGGTCCCCGCTGGATGAAGCTTATGATGATTTTAATTTTTCGGAAAGTGATGGCGAAAGCAATAATTCTTCTAAGTTGTACATGCAAAAGTTCCAGAACAAAGTGGATTTTTCTATGAAGAGTGGGAGACAAATGAAAGACAAGAGTGATAGGGCAACAACCGATCATGCTCTTGATAGAAGATCATGTTCTATATTATTCAAGATGATGAATCAGGGTATATTCAGTGAAGTTAACGGGTGCATTAGTACAGGTTAGTTCCTGTAATTATCAGCGGTCAATAAGTACTGATTATTTGATATTGGGATGCGCGGATGTATACATGCCTAAAGTTTTCACAAAGCCGTCATGTATACACAGACATATCTGTTTATATATATATATATATATATATATATATACATATATAGGAATGGTGTTTAGGATCTGAGCATTGATATTATACAGATTGTGTGCTCTATGACAATCAATGACCTGGAGTCCTCGTGCGTATATTTCTGAGATCATTATTTGTTAATAGTTAAAATATATTTACCAAAGCATAAAATTACATAACCAGGATTTTTTCGAAGCCACATGGAGTCGACAAAACACTAGTGTGAAACGACCTTTGCTTCGCAACAGTAATCCTGTTTTGATACCGTATAAACGGTCATTTTTCATCTCGTGTAGATTCGTCTTTATTCTCAACCGTGTCTCTGATTGGCCATACGTTCCTTGTGGAAACTTGGTAGATAGAGTCAATTTTTACTCAGTAAACGTATGGACAGAATGCTCGTCATTAGCACTTATAAGATACTGGGTTATCTTCAAGTATTTTACAACACTGAAAAGGGGTTATTATTTTGGGCAAGTTGTTTCCACACTATGCGTCTATCTCAGATAGTCGAGTGAAATGGTTTTTCACTGGATCTCTTATTTCGCTTTGCATCTGTACGCAGTGCTACTAGCTGATGACACAACTGGATGTTTTCTTTTTAGTTTGATTCAGTAATGTATATTGTTCGTCACTATATCATGTATACTTGACTTACCATTTACGATTACCCATGAAGTAGTCACCTTCGTATCTTGCACATACTTGTTTTTGTCATTACTGTGTTGTGTGAACATAACTTAATGAACAACTAAAAAGTGGCTTGCCGTTGGCCGAGAACTTTGTGTGGCTAGTGCGGATCATGCAAATTATTGTAAGGTTAAAGTAGACCAGTGGTGGTTTGAAAAGACTATTCTCGACGTATATTCTCTATCCACATCAAGTTTTATATCGACTCAACTTGTTCACACTAAACCATCTGATAACAGCCTACAAGATCATTCACCAAGTGGACCACCCAAATAGGACAACATTATCAGTCCAAAACTGACAGTCCCGTGGGAATTCCACTAGCATACCCTACCTTAGGGCAAAAACTAGAATGAGATCTAACTTCTCCCATAGAGTATGTGCCTTATGGAACGCGGTGCCGAAAGAAGTGGTCACAGCTACACCAGTCATCTTCTTCAAACGACTACTGGATGAGTATATGAGCGGAAATGGCTTGCCACGAACACTTGTTAGTAGCAACTGGTGATACGCCCTTCCATCCATGTATTCCCCAACCCTAGTATCTGCAGTAAGACGCATCTCTCCTGTATATTATTACCAGTCACATTTATCTTATCAAAGATACTTTTCACTTCTCTTTTTCTCATTCCCCACTCGCCCCGTTTCTTTCGCTTTTTAAGTAACACTTAACACTTACTTGCAGGTGCCTACAACAACGGGAATTGCAAACGGTTGATTGATCTTATCAGCAGCTCTGTCCCCCCCCCCCCTAAACAAACAAAGCTAAAATTTGCTAATAGAGCACCTTCAAATAGACAAACACTACCTCCAAAGCTATAAGCAGGAAAGCTCAGACTTCTGCGACCATCGACAGAGTACGACCGAACAAAAAGAACCAAGACTCAAGACCTAGAAGCGAGAGCTCAAAAACTATAACTTTCTTCTACTCGCACTATTAATGTTAGATGTCGGAACCTACGAAACTGCAGCGTGAATTGCTTCATGACGTTTGACTACATGCAAATGCGAAGGTCGGTGGAATGTAATCTAAAATTCATAGTTGCGTTGGTTTAGATGCGACTGTATTTCTGAACACAACAACAAGAATTCTCTGGGGGGATACTAAAAAAAACGGTCGCAGAGGCATATGCAAAAATGATGGATTCGAAAGCTTTCTTAGTATGACAATTACGTTTGATATAGTTATTTCGTTGTAGTTGGTAAAAGCCAATAATTTCAAATGCTTTTTTCAAATCAGTCAACGATAACTAGTTGACTGAAAAGCTAAACTAGAAAAATGTGAACTGACAGTGGTTGTCCGATGAATACAAGCAGTAACGAATAGAAAAAGTGGAAATGAAGAAGTCGTTGACGCTAGTTAATATGCATTGAGTAAAAATAGCGACTTAATTGTTCTCTAGTCGATAAGCCACTTTGTACTGATTTTGAAATGGAATTGTGTACTAATTAGCCGCATGGCTTTACTAGAACTAGTAGTTCCGAATGAAACCAGAACAAAAATTGTAATTGGTGTGCATGTATTTCAAACAGTCTCAAATGGACACCCCAACAGTTCGCTAGGAATAATCGATGAGAATATCGTTACACATGCAATCACTTCTCGTGACGTGGTTAGACTTAACTCATCAATAGTGACGTCAAATATCTGTCCGGATAATCACAAATCACCATACATCTATTGTCAAATGCTTAGTGATATTGCCTGGGTGCCTACGTAAGCTTACGTAAGACCTAGTCTGAAGTTTTTTGGATTTCACTTCTTCATCTGAAGTTCCTTCTAAGTACCCCTCGAAGCAGTGTTTTCTATTAATAGGTTCTCACGCATCACTTTCCCAAGGAAACAACTCATATTGCGTATGTAACTTTCCTTTTGTGTGAAGGTCGACAAAATAAAGCTGTGACGTACTGGTTTACAGACGTTAATTTCAACCATTGGGTCAAACTTTCAGACCATGCTCCATCTGATGAGGACTGAACAGTTAGTATGGTTAGCTGTCATAGTCGATGTGGCTCACAACCTAACGTTACAAATTTATGCTGCACTACTCGGCTCAATATCTTTGAAGCATTTCTAGTGTTCCGTGTTGAAGTTAGGCGTAGGATTTTGGATAAGCAGAACCAGTTTTAAACTGACAGATACTGAATCCACAGACGTCATATATTATACCTGGTGTAGAACCTATGCTACTGTTAAAGTTTGGTTCTTGTCGATTAAAACTGGCCTCAAAACTAAAGTTAGATCAAACCTTTCTGCATTTTATTTAAAATTATGATACCTGTAGTGAAAGATTCCTTTGTATAGCTTTGGCTTATAGGTCTAGGTAGTCAATTTTAAACCTGATCATCACATGTATTGACTCACTCTATGAAGGGCATGTGGCTGACTTTGAGTACGCATACATCGTCTTGCTGGGTAGACACTGAGAAAATGCATGGTCTTAAAAACGCCTTTAATAGAAATCTGAGTAGGTGTGGCATTTGCCTTGCATCTGTGAAGTGTAAGATAGGGCTAGAGGACTAGTCTGCAACCGATCCTAGTTTAATGATGGGGAGTAAAGGGGTTGGATGCATTGACCACTTCGCCTACTCGGTGAGTTGCACCAGCCTAACTGGGCTGGTTGCTGACGAAATCTCACTTTGGACACGGAAGGTCCGTTTGGCATCTGGCAACCCACGTCATTTCTGGCATCGGGGAGATATGCGAATACCTATTAAGGAACGAGTATACTGAGCTGTAGTTCCTTCTGTCCTGTTTTACGGCTGTGAGATATGGCCGTTGAGAGAAGACATAAATCGATTACTGGGTTTGAATCACAGGCATCTTTGTAGGATTGTTTGCATATGATAGGATCACCGCATGAGAAATGTAGAACTTAGGAGAAAAGGCACTATGCAAGTAGATAGATGGGGTTGCTGACCTTCAGCGACTAAGGTGGGCTGTACATGCCCAGCGACTGGATACCTCGACATGCCATGCTAAGGAAAGTTGGGTTAGGTTGGAAGAGGGTTCAGGGTGGCCAGACCAAGACGTGGCACCAGTCGATGAACTCTCCTACTATTGGAGTCATGTGGAGTGGTGTAGACTGACTGGATGGAAACCCTGCGGAGATAAGAATCAGTAGTTGGGTACTTTTGTTGACAGGAGAAAATTGGTAACAGTAGGGCAGATACATTCACTCTTTGATTTCTTTTAAAGCTTGAATGTTTCTACTAACCATAATTCTGAAACTCCCCCTCATCCCATGCACCTTTATCTACTTTGATATCAATCGTTTTCTATCCACTTGTATTTTGAATGGTACCGTGAAGTGTAGCAGTTGGACCGATGCACTTGTGTGCGAAGTTTTATGTTGATTTTATCTATCTGTTTGTATTACTGGTTGAAACCCTGAGTCACCTACCATAGTTCGGGCAGGTGATATTACAGTCCTCACACAACTGGCATTACGCATCACCTTAGTGCACGAATCTCTTGTGAATTCCTTACTTTCGGTATTTTGTTCGCTTTCGTATCTTATAATGTTGTTACGTATTTGGTTCATATTTCTATGTTTGATTTACATTTTATATGGATTACAGAAAAACTGAAGTTATTCAGTGAAAGGGCTTATTGTATCGATTTGCTTAGCATTCACTTAAGCAAACTTGACGGAATGACGTAGGAAGGCGGTGGGTTCTTTCACTGTTTAACAGTCCTTACTACTTTTTAGTATACGAAATATCCCTGTCGTCATAAAAAATGAAGTGACTCAGCAAATAGGCTCTTTTCAGCTCTTTTTGTTTTTTACTACTTGATAAAGATTTTTCGTATCTATCAGTGATAGATTGTCCCAAATTGCCGTCGAAATACTATTTGGTAGAGAACAGATTAGATTGTATCAGTCTTATTTCGGTTGGTTAATAAACCTCCCTCATTAGTGATAAGGTGTTCTTAACAGCTGTTCCACCTGGTTTATGTTAGCCAAAAATTTTTTCTTCTCTTTCTCTCTCTGTTTATATATAATCACTGGAGAGCCACCAATCGCATGTATAGTTCACCAAGCTAGGAGGCCCACCATCTTGGTGCACTTTGATGGATGTTAGTTGGTTGGAGGTAGTTGGCAGAAAACCCTTGACCTAGGTTTCATGCTTGTTGGAACTTGTTAGCAGGGCGTATCTACAAACTTGAGGGAACTGATGTCGCCTCTGCGATTCAAACGCCTGTCAGCGACATTACCACTAAGCTATTCGAAACGTGACTGACCTCCTGTAGGAGTGGATTAGATACATTGATTGATAACTGGAGAGCAACCAACCTCATGTTATCTAGTCTTCAGTGCTAACCGAATTATATCAATCATTTCGAAATATTTATATCCTGAGAATCGATTTACTGAAGGAGAGCTCACTGGATTTTTTGTTTTTGAAAGTTGTGCGTATATCAGTGAGATGGGAACTTCCTGAATTAGCGGAGTGCATGTGTAAGAAAAGATATACATTTGTATTTCACTGTAATCTTATTAGAATGATTACGGTGCTTGATTTTTAAACCTTATCACACTTTCAAGCTTTCAACATACTTTTATCTCACTAATATAAGCTGCGATTGATGGGTATTACCCATATCTAAGCACAAAAGCTTGTATCCTTAATTTCTGTTACCATGTACAACGAAGCATAACGTGAGGTTATATTTTTCTTTTCCAATTTATACTGTGGAGAATCTTATTTCACTCAATCATTATCATATATGTTAAATAGGTGTTCGTTAAACTAAAGGCGTACCTGACATACTCTTCTCATCAAAATTTCACTTCATTACTTGAGTCATTTTGATATAAACTACAACAAGTTCGCATCAATATAATGTTGCACGTTTGTTTTGGCTACCGGTTTCCAACCAAAATAGTTTATTCTTTCTCCCTGTGATGATTGACAACTGCATTGTACTTTTCATAGTTAAACTAAGTTTTCTCACCCTATTTTTGTCCCATCTTACTTTGCACGACTGGAAAAAGCCTCAGACCAATTTGTTGATTCTTCCACCTACATTATATTGATCTTTATTCCATACCGCGATGTAATTGGACGATCATCGTAAAAGTCACCATCTGTACCAAGACTTGAAAACCTAATATCAAATTCATACTCTTGGAAAAGATCTTAGTAGCAAGATCGAAACGTTGACGAATAATACAGAAGATTTCTAAAAATTTTATTATTAATTTTAATATACTACGCTGGGCTTACACAAGTAAAATGCACCTTATACTATGAATCATACTAACTCAATGTCCAAGGTTTTTCAAACCACCTAGTCTAGGATACTTCCAATTGATTTTCAACCTGTTGTCAATCGTTTTTGAAAGGAATCCGTTTACTGAGATAAGAAAATCACTGCGCTTTGATAAGCGCTTACACTAAATGTGGTTCACAGTTTAGGATTCGAGTATGCACAAAACTGACTGGTGATTAGGTATTTTTGTACACTTAGTAATCACTTAGTGGAATGCTTTAAACTATCACTGGTGAAAATCGTTCGCATTTCACTTAACTGTTGTATCCATTTTTCATTCTGTGCATAAGAAGGTGATTTTTGTTGTTTTTACTTGATAAATACAGGTAAAGAAGCCAATATATACCATGTGAAAAATGATGCTAACGTCGATCTCGCCATCAAAGTGTATATGACATCAGTAATGCCATTTAAATCTCGTGATAAATATGTGAAAGGGGATTTTAGAATGCGTCATGGATATTCGAAGGCGACATCATGGAAACTTGTTTGTAAATGGAGTGAGAAAGAGTATCGCAATCTACTTCGAATAAATCAGTCTGGTTTAATAAATGCTCCTAAACCTTTACGTTTGAAAGGTGTTGTTCTGTTGATGACTTTTATTGGAAAGGATGGTATTCCTGCTCCAAAGTTAAAAGACGTTTGTCTTGAAGAAGAAGAAGCTAGAGGAGGAGAAGCTTGCAAAGATGTTCCAAATTGGCCTGCTTTATACTCCCAAGTTATAAATGATATCAGAACGTTGTTTCAGAAATGTCGTTTAGTTCACGCAGATTTGAGTGAGTATAACCTGCTCTACCTTGATGGGAAAGTGTGGATGATTGATGTTTCTCAGGTGAGTGTTTAATACTTTCCTGTCAATAAGTACTTTTTGATACCATATCAGCCTTAGACTGTAGAATTCCCCAAAGGTCATTACTGCAGAGCATTTGAACTACTGCTATAGTTATGGAAGCAAATAAACCAATTAATTAAAGCAACTCAACCAAGTACGTTTTGATGTACTAGGGTAGAAGTCACACCTTATGTATAAGGGCCTGTGATACTCTCCGTTTTTCCGAACCAAAGTAATCAGGGAAGCGGTTGATCTGGGGACCCATTAGTTCAAAATCAAGCGCTCAGGTTGATGAGCAAGCAATTAAATTACAGTTAAAAAGTAGTGCAAATCGTGGATCCGAACTCTTATTCGCGTACTGAAAACCACACGAGAATGTTTACGCTCTTACTAAGTTGCCTCTCCGTGATCATACTTTTATGCATTACGACACACTTTAACGTTGAACGTTGCTTGAATCATTGATGAATTTTCTCTACATTTGATTTATTGAACAAACAGACAGAAAAATCAGCATCGAAACTGAAGTGTTGGACAAGACTACACTTTTAAGTTATCTATTCAACGGGTTCCCTAAAAGGTTTGTTAGTATCTACAAAACCCTAAACAAAAACACCGGAATTAGGGTTTAAACAATGATCATATATGCACAGTGTTGCAAAGTAGCAATGTAGTTGGTAATGGTTGTTTTACAGCACTATTTCTCTTATACTTCTCAATGACATAATTAAGATAGATCTGAAGGTAATACATGAGGTTAATGGGCTTTTCTGAATACTGGCTTTTACCTTGATGTGGTGTCAGATCTTGCATATTGTAATGATCCGACGAGCTATGCTGGTGAAACGCTTGTTCTTTCGAGGTCCTACCATAACAGAAAGGTATTCTGGGATCTCTAGTCATGGATGTATGACGTTTCTCTGAGATACGTATACAGAATCTTAGTGTAGTTATTAAATTGACCTCATCTGACCACAGTAGTGAATCATCAAACCTCACCTTAAGAGTATCCGGAGACCCAGTGCATAGTGGACTGGCTAATGTATACATAGGATTGAGTTGTAGAACAGAAAATACGCTTGTCGACTGGATACCAGCCAACAGCTATGTGCTGTTCAACTGAATGTATCTATAAGGACTAGGAATTATTGTGAAACTAAGCGATGCCCATTCGTAATCTTCGCATACGCACTCACTGACTGTAGTTCGGATGACTTCTATGAGCTGTCAATTTCGCTACAGAAAACAGACGTACAGAAGTGGTTATGGTGGCACGTGACGTTAACGTTCAAGTAGGGAAGCTGAGCCAATCTGAAAAGCATCTTAAAAATCACTACAGAATCCTATACCAGCGAATCGACAACGGTGATCGTCTGTTGCGATATTGCTGAGACAATCACTTGTTTATCAGTAGCACTAACTGTAGGCATAAGAAGAGACACTGTTTCGCATAGCGTCTGCTGACATTAAATAAGAGATGAACGCAGGTAGATGACATTGCTAGCAAACCATCGTTGAAGCAGTCTGTGGAGGATTGGCGCTCTTTCTGGAGTACCAGTTAGAAATCAGATCACGCACTAGTACGGGCTCGTATCGTATGTCTACGCCGTATGGGTTGCAAGAAAGAAGCAGGAGTGAAGCCTGTTTGTCCTCGATTAGTAGATAAAAAACATCAAGCACGCATTTAAGGAGGGATTAGCTAAGCATTTATCTGAACATGATGGCAATGCTCAACCTGAGGAAACCTGGCGTAATATTAAGTGTTCTATAGAAACGGAGGCAAAGACGATTGGTAACGTAGATATGAAGGTTAGCAAACGTGATTGGATTTCTGCGATATCATCCGAAATGATTGATGCGAGAAGATTCATTCCAACTGGCTCGGATCACGATGAAGAGCTAAAACAAACTCAAACGTGAAGTGACCAAGAGTCTTTGCGCCGACAGTGAGCAGTGGTGGGTGTTGAAAGCAAGAGAGCTGGCGAATGTATCAGCCGTGGGTAACGCTCGACAGCTGTTTATGCTTATTAGAGATACCGTCAAGAAGTAGATGATGGTGAGTGAAACCATCACCGAGAATGATGGGAGGCTGACAACCTCACAGTACAGGCGGCCATAACGTTGAGCAGAACATCTTGAAGCACGGTTCAACTGGCCCTCAACAACACTGTAGTTTCTTAACATCCAGTCTGAACCTGACTGATTGTGATGTAGTTCTCGATCCTCCAAGTGTCCTTGGAGTTAATAAAGTTGTATGTAACCTGGAACGATGGAAAGTAGCAGGACCTGAGGGTTTTCCAGCTAAGGTTTTCAAGGTTGTAGGTGAGAAATTGCTACTTAAAGTGGTGGAGTTGCTAGATAGTGTATGGGAATCAGAGGTGGTGCCATCAAATTGGTATACTTCATTGATAATCCAAGTGCATAAGAACGGAGAGAAGTCGTCTTGTGAAAACTGTAGGGGAATTAGTTTGACGAATACTGTGTCCGAGATTCTGGCTTCCAGTTACCCAATGCTTAGCTGTAGCTGGAGAACAGCGAACTCAGGAAAATCAGGCAGGTTGCAAACAGATCTTGACAAGAGTGCATCGAGGATATTTTCATCCTCTGACAGCTTCTAGAACGCAGGCATACCTACCAGTGGCCTACACCTATATTCCTTGACCTGAAGGCGGAATTTGACTCAGTCGGCTGTGAGGTGTTGTGACAGTGTCTTAGTGCAAAGAGAGTACCGAGCAAGCTATATAACGCTTTTCAAACCTCTCTGCTCGAACTGATGCAGCCGTGTCAAGGCAGTGCCTATGGAGAGCTGTCATGTGAACTGACGACAACTAGCAGTGTTCTCCATGGATACCCACTGTGACCGTTCCTACTTAACTTTGTCATAGACATACTAGTGGAAATGACCTTGGGTGGGTCTGACTTCATAGGGATTGGCATACGCCCTGGAGGTTATCTATTTGATTTGAAGTATTCAGACGATGCTGTCCTGCTACATGAATGTGCTGACAAAATGTAGAGTATGGGTTAAGCAGAGATCTGAGTATGTTTTCATACGTTTCCCTATCACCTGTCAAATGTAAGATAATGCTCCAGGACTGGTCTGCTGTAAGTACTTCCAGTTTGATGATAAGGAGTGGACTGGTGGAATGTGCCGACCACTTCACTTATTTCTGAATTTGTATCTGCCTAAATGGGCTGGTTGCTGACAAAATCTCAGATCGGATACGGAATGCCCGTTTGGCATTTGTCAGGCCGTGTCACCTGTGGCGCCGACTAGTAAGATATCCGACTGAAATCTTTTCTGTCCTGTTGTATGACTGAGAGACATGGCCGTTAAAAGTAAGCGACATGAAACGATTAGTGGTTTTTGACCACAGATGTCTTCGTAGCGTTTGGTGGAATCTTCGTGTGAACAGTGTTGATGTCAGGCAAAGGGTACTAAGCAAAATAGGCAAGTCGATTGGTGAGGTTGTCAACCTTAGTCAACAGAGATGGCTTGGACATGTATTGCACATGCCCAACCACCATTTACCTCGACGTTTCATGCTAGTATAAGTTGGATTAGGTTTGAAGAGAATTCTTGGTGGCCAGACGGAGAAGTGCCATCAGTCAATGAAGTCTCTTACTGATGGTTTGGGTCGTGCAGGACAATGTAGACTGTTCGGTTGCAGTCCACAAGGTGAAAGGAATCATTGTTTGAAGGGTGGCTAAAAGCCAATCACAATGGTGGCGCAGATATATTTACTTCTCGGTATCTTCTAAAGCTTGGATTTTTTTGCACTGACTTTAGTATTCAACATGCTATTCTCTCTACTTTGATATCTTTCATATTCGATCCATTTGTTCTTTTTATACTCCTGTGAAGTGTGGCAACGCTTGATTCTGTCTGTCTAACAGATTAAGAATGCAGATGTGATGTAGATATTGGTTTGAAGTTGACAAGATCTATTCATCTGAACAATTAGATGATGTTCCGCACCACTAGAATGCAGAATGTGGCCCCAGAAATAGTCTGAGTTGGTACCTTGTTTATCCGTACGCAGTGAATATTGGTTGTACGCGCTGATCACTTTAATTACTTCGAAAGCTGAATCGACTCTAATGAATCTATGACTGGGGAAATCTTGGTGCATTTGATTGACTTTAACACTTTTCACCATCTATAGGGTCGGTAGGGTATCTTATTGACTACTCTTTTAGCTCTAGAATACGACTATCAAAGGTGGAGGAAACAGAAACGCTCCAAGTATTCGGCCACCTTTGAAGTCGCAACACTACCAATGCTTAGCGCAACCACCAAGTTAGTAATGTAGAGGTTAAGAGTAGTCTCAGTCAAAATAACCAAGTCAGTTGATGAGATTGTAAACCTTTATTAACTAAGGGGGCTCGGACGTTACATATGTCTAGTCGTCATCTATCTTAACATACTATGCTAGCTGAAGCAGTTTCAAATAGTAGCTCACTGGTATAGACATTCGACTTTCAACTAGTAGGCCATGGGTTTCAACTCTACTCTACCTTCCAAAGTGTAGAATGCCTGGTAGTAACATCAGTCCTCATACAATACCTGATTAAGTACTGTGCAAATGCGCAAGTGGTTCCTAAGTGCAATTAAATCGATATTTTTTGGATTCAATAACCAAATTGAGTTGAAGTTCATTTGATATCACCGTAATTAGACTCTTGGTGTATAAGGATTTTAAAATATTACTAAACTCAGGGAAACTCCCTTTTGACGTGTACTTAGTATATTCCTTGTTGATGGATCTACCAAGATAAAAATGTGAACAACTTAACCATAACCTATCAACCCAGTTTTCTCTTCACGCTTGAGGAAAGATGGTGGTAGTTGTTTCGACAATGGTACTTTACAGCTCTTACGATCCCTCCCGAACGTTTATTCAATTATGTAAGTGTATGTTAGTTATCCTTAGAGCACAGGATACTCGTGAAATTCGTTGGTACATTAGCTGACCGGAATCGGTTTTTTATAGTCATCATATCTTACACAGGTTGAAGATATCTTCTTACTGGAAAAGTTTCTCAAAACACTTTTGGCAGCCTTCCACTATATATTTACGTTCCTCACGTTCGTTGAATACATGGGACAGTTCTGTAGAAGTGAGTTACATTATTCTATAGTTAGGGTAAATGTTGAGATGAACAACTTTACTGTTTATATTATCACTAGAATTGTGCGTTCTTTAAAAATTGATGATCATAGATGAGGTCACAGAATAGACAACCATATGCTGCTATTCAGTAATCCTTCTTATTGAGGTATGATGCTGACCAGGGTGAAAGGTTGATGACAAAAGTTCTATGAATGTCATGTGAAAAAATCGACATACCGCATATGTAGAACGAAACTGTCAGCCAATTGAAATTATATTGTCGTTACATAGATGACAACTTTATAGTTCTTAGAAATAAGATTAGTAAGAATACTGTCCTAAATAAGTTTAACAGTATTCATCCAGCAACCAAATTAACAATAGGAAAGGAGCGAAATGACAGTATCCCACTTCTTGATGTTCTGATGGTAGGAAGGTTAGATGGAGCTCTGAAACGAAGTATATGTAGAAAGCCAACATTAACGGACTTCTCTCGTGATGTACCCCTCCAACAAAAGAAGTGCCTGGTGAAATTCGTAGCCTCCTGCGCCACGGTTATTTTTTCTGATGGTACTACAGAAGAAGAGTTTGCCATCATCCGTGACCTACTTAGTAGGAATGGGTATCCAGCATAATTTGTAACTAAGTATATGAATGTTACGAAGGTTAAGACAAGAATGCCAACAGTTCATAAGAAGCAAATCGTGAGAGTGGAATTGAAGAATGACATTGTTATTTAGATCTTCACACAATGTATAAAAAGAGCCTTGCAAAAGGCATTCCCAGCGGCTAAATTATGTCCCATCTTCTACAACTACTCAATCCTAAGAGCAAAAAAATAAAGACGGCCTGCCTGATTCTGCCACTTTCATGTGCATATATCACTTCAACTTCTTCTGTGAAGCTAGTTATATTGCGGGTACAATGAGGCAGATCCATCGTCGAATTTCTGAGCACCAGTCATCATGGTTGAATAGGGAACAGATTAGAACAATAAAGAGCTCTATACTTGTACACTTAGTTGACACTCAGCTTTAAGTGGATGCTAGCAAAGCATTTTAAATTATTCGTATGGATTACGCATTCGCTCATTTCACATGACAAAGATGATTGTAATCCACCTTTACAAACTCAACCTTTGTATTCGAAAGAAATTTTTTCAACCACCTGCATTACCGTAACTTCTAGTATTGCTTTGTACGCCTCTTCCCCCTTCCTATTCCATCAATATTCATTCGCTTTCTTATTCTTAGGTAATTATTCATTGTTTATGACTGACCACTTTATTTACTTTACCAGTTACTATGCGGTGTGCCCAAGAATAACCTATTAATATGCATCTTGAGTACTCAAACTTATCATCCTCATGGCTTACTTAAAATCTATAATTATTGTTTAAACCCCCCACCACCGCTTGATTAGTATTTTGATTGGATTGTAAACCTGTGCATTAGCACAGAGTTAAAGACGAAGATGTAGTTGAAAAGAAATATATCCTCTTCGCTCAATCAGTGTTGTTTTTCTAAATATTTATTGGCGATCTCATAGCTGTTATATGTGTTTTACAATACGTCACCGAGGAGCTGTTATACAAGTTATACATGCTTGTGTACACCTCCAAGTTGAAATTACATTCTCAAGTAGTCGACTGGTGTGTATTCATGGTTTTTTTTTCTTTATGCTGATCTGTTTTTAAAGCAAACTCTGTTAACTGGTAAATTCATTGGTGTACATTTTCATACTTCTTTATCATATCGATTTTTAGGCTGTGGAACATGAATCTCCTCAAGCACTTGAATATTTGAGAACTGATTGTTATAATGTTAATACATTCTTCCGCAAGCAAGGCGTCTCAACTTTGACTCTACGAGAGCTCTTCGAATGGGTGGTGAATCCTACACTCCCTTCACCTGATGATCCTTCCTCTGTAAACTGTTTAGCTTCTTTACTTCAAGAAGCCTCAATTCGGGGGATGAACGAAACTATGGAGAAAGAAGATGAGGCTTTCAGATTTGTACATATTCCACGAAATTTGTCAGTATCTTATCCATTTGTAAGAGATTTCCTCAAACTACAACGTGGACAACTGTCACCATCTGATATTTATTATGCAACTATTACTGGGCTTAAATCCGATTTAACTGGTGCCTTACCAGAACTTCAGCCAGTAACAGAAAACAAGGACGCTGAATCAGATGACGAGTCATTATTATCGGAAGAAGCTTCAGTTTGTTCGAATGTTTCTTCAGAGTCTATCAACAAAGCAGAAGTTAAGGGAGAAGTACTGTTAGGCCACGAAATGAATCTCCAGAAAGTCGTAGGAATCGAAAGAAAGCAATCAAACAAGAGCAAGCTGAAAAAAGAAAGCACAAAATTCCTAAACATATTAAAAGGCGTAAAATAAAAAAGTAAACAGGTTGAACTTTGTTCTCAATCTCGAAAAGGGATATTAATGAAAATGTCGGCATTAGCTGCACTTTTGAGTGTTTCACCCTCTGGGGCTTTAAATAAATGCATCATCTAAATGACTTCCTTTGAAGTAGTGTAGTGCGCATCGATAAAGTTCTAATGTACTACTGCCTCAGCATCTTCATGTGGTGTAACTACTCCACTTACAAGCGTAACATTAGTAGTTTTAAACGTAAGTATTGGAAGGGATGATTTATAAACAGTTGTTTTCGGTTTTCGTATACCTTTACTAATTTTGTTGGTTAATGATCACTGACGGCTGATGATGTGCAGGGCAGATACGTCCTTTTGGTACTGTCATCAAGTCAATGCCTATATTCTTTCCTCCTTTGTACAGTCTACTCTGCGTGCAACAACTTTGTATTGTCAGCTTTACTATAGAAAATAGGCTGTAGTAGAGTTCCCGCTGTGTTCAGCTATTAGAGGTCAGAAACATGAAGATTGCTAAGTTTTTTTACTAAGATTCTTAATAAAACACCTCGAAAACAGAAGCTATGCAGCTAAACTTAACCTAAAATACTCAGGTTACGTTTCAGGCAAAATATCTACTCGACCATGCTATGCAAAATGAGTAGCTTATTCACCGTGTTTCTCAGTAGGCGTTTTGTGCATTCCAGAAGAGAGAAACTCATTTCAGCATGAGGTATGCTAAAATGAATTTTGTTTCACTCCATGAGGTATTTGGTTGGTAACGTTTGTAATGAACTGTCTGATTTTATTAGCTTATCCTATAACCTATAGGTGTAAGAAATTAGACGTGAATCTCTCAGTCTTTTTCGTGGAATGTGTGTTGAAAAGCTTGTGCTTCAGTTTTCTGAAATAAAATTCGTATGATCACATTCATCCTCAACTTATTAAGATGTTATTCAATTTCTTATCTATTAAAGATTGACTGTTAGTTTGCCCGAGTAATAATAATGTAGTCAAATTATTGCCTACATGACCATGAATCGGGTTATGGTCTGAAATCATAGCTTAAAGTGTAATAATATTACTAGCAAAACTTGCTGTGATGTTTAGAATCGTTAAGCAACAAATGAAAGTAAACTGTCTAGTTCAATAATTCATGGCTCGCTATGTATAGTGGATAACATTCAACACTTCACAAACAAGTGTCATATTCAAATAAGAAACTGAAGTCTAGTGATTTCCACTTGCTTTTAACATATAATTTGCATTATGATAGGATTTGTCATAAATGACCTAAGCAGCTTTACAAAAACCTCATCGATCGTGTCAAGTTCAAGTGTTGGTACAGACTATTGTTGACAAATTAGCTATCAGATGTAGCTGTAAGCTCCGTAGCACTGAGTACAATCTGTTGTACAATTCTGAAAGATGAACTGCATTGCGATGTTAAAAGTCGGCAAAAGTCCATGGATATATGTTTTATAATCCTGGGCAACGATTTTAATATTGAGGAAATTTATACACAGAACGCTTCAACAGATAAAAACGAAGTGGAACCTCGCACACAACTGCGTCGGTTTAGTTTGTCACACTTCACAGCAGCATGGAAAGAACCCATGGATATAAAAATAGGGATATCGAAGTAAATAAAGTGAGAGAATAAGCAATTTTAAGATAGGTTAGTAAAGAAGGCATCAAAGACCAAATACACTACGACGCTGTGACGGGTTTCAACTCATATCACCAAGACTCCTCAACCACTGGTTCCTTTCGTCTCGGGGGTCCCAGCCACGCACTTCATCGACAGATGACACTTTTTGGTCTGACCACCCATAATCCTGTTCAAAAATAACCCAACTTACAATAGCATGGCGCGCCGTGGTAAACGGTGGTTCAACATGCGGTGTACATATTCAAGCCATCTCGGTCGACTAAGGTTGACAACCTCACCAATCGACTTGCCTGTTTTGCTTAGTACCCTTTGTCTGACATCAACATTGCTCACATGGTGATTCCATCAAACGAAGTATCTCTTTTACCCTACTTAGTAATTTTCTATCTGTCCTTAAAAACTACTTCCGACAAACCATCAGTTCTTACAGTTTGCATCGTTTCAAATCCGAAACAACTACAGTTGTGAGGACAGACTTCATGCACTCATGCTACGTCTTGTTTTACCGACCTTCGGCTTTTTTTTCCAACTCTGACTAACTTCACATGCTGGGGTATGCAGTGATCGAGCGTCCGCAAAAACTGTCCGAGACGCCGCAGTCGGGTATTTACAGCCTCATTTCTAAACACTTGTGTGAAAACTAGGCTGAATCGTTGGAGCTTGTTAATAGACGAACTGTGATACACTAAGCTAACAGTTACAGAAATATTTGGGACGTCCGACAACATGTGTTACTAGTGTATTGAATGATTAATCCGCTAGCTATTTAATTCAAATAAGCACAAATAAAATCGTAATACTTTTTGGATTTCTTCCTAAATAACAATAAATAATTGTAAATATATGAAAACTACAACTTAAAAGTAAGCAAATTAATTTATTCATGTATACCCTGTTCAATTTCATTCTTTCAGAGTCAAACCATTATTATCTTCATCATCATCATCATTCAAATCTATATCACCAATGTCGATAAATAAATGTTCATCTATCTCCACCACCTCACCACCATTAGTTTCAAGGAATGTGAGATCTGAATCATCATAATGACTGTCTTTCAAAAATAATTCACGCCCAGTTAATCGTTTGTTACTCTGTTCTTCTGATATAAGCTTTTCTTTTATTGATTGCATTTCTGCGCGAAATTTTGCATTCCACTCGAGAAATGATTCTACTGTAACTCGATCTCCTCTAAACTTGGCCTCTTCCTCTAATTGTACTGCTTTTCGTTTTTCTTTAGCTTCATTACGCTGACGAAGTAGTAATTTCTCACAAACACTGTCCAATTTCTGTTGAATATCTGATAATATATCAAAAAGCATCACGTATCCTAATGAGCGTTCAATCACTCCATTGATTATATGATTGATATCAGAGATATCTTCTTCTGAAAGATTTTCAGGTTTACGTATTTGAAACTCAGGTGGTTCATTTGGATACTTATCTGGAAGTTCAAAAAGAATTTGACATCTAATTTTAGTTAAGAGTGAATCATCTGACTGTCCATCCAAACATATCTTGACTTTTCGTTTAGGTGTAGTCTGTACGAGTTGATATCTATCCTCGTATATAGACTCCAGAGCAAGTAATTCGTTTTCACAGTCTTCTGAAGACATCTATAAAAAAAAGCCATACTAAATAGGTAATATGAGTTAAAACACAGTCTAAGCATTTTATCATGAAGCTGTAAGATATCTTAGGTTGGATTTCATTTGAAATATGGAAAACGGTGGAGATCAGTTGTTTGCACCATCAAGATCAAATCCTCTATCATGAAAGATGTATTTTCATTGTATCTGACAAATTTATTTCTCACTTGATCTACTATTTTGTCAATAACCTTACGCTTATTCTTATACTTTTGCGAAAAAAGATACTTGAGAATTATCACAAATTATCCAAACAGAAGGAATTCGATGAATCTAACTAGCTGAACAGGTATGTAACTTACAAGAAAACGATTTGGATATGCATTCAGAAGAATTTTATTGAAGACGTTTATAGTAGACATGATAAATGGGGTAGGGTGGATGGTAATAAAAACTACCATTCCTAAATAGTTTTTTTTGAGGTAGAACTGAAATATGAATCAGTGCTTTCTAATACTCCGGAACCAAAACGCCTATATATAAAACAAAAGTCCAATTGACGCATACTACCTTCAAATGGTCCTTGAAATTATGCATCACAACGACCCAACCAGCTATGCTCGTGAAACGCCTTTTAACTTGAAGTTGTATCATACCAAAAAAGTCAGCTCGATAGTGATAAGACAAAAGTCAGTTGCCAACATAGGGTAAACAACTTACGTTGAAGTGGACGTACTGCTGTCTGCATTGAGTGCGATAACAGCAACATGTTTCCTGCTGACTGACAAAATCAATGTAATAGCTCTCACCCAGGTGCATCGGTCAAAACCGTCACAATTAACGGTAGTATACAAAGAATATGACGATAGAAAAAGAGTGATTTCACAGATAAAGATGTGTGGGATAATAAGAATCTTGAAGTTAGTGAGAGTATTCAAGCTTTTGAAGATATCAAGAAGTGAATACATCTGCGCCATTGTGACCGATTTTTAGCCACATCATCAAGAAGTCCTCAACCACTCATTTCTTTCGTCTCAAGGGCCCCGGCCACACACTATCAACTGATGCCACTTCTCAATTTGGTCATCCCGAATCCTCTTCAAAGCGAATCCAACTTGCACTAGCATGGAACGCCGAGGTAAACGGTCACTCAGCATGCGCACTACATGTTGAAGCCATTTTAGTCGATGAAGGTTGAGAACCTCATTAATAGACTGCTGTCTTGCATAGTATCCTTCACCTGACAGCAACAGTCCTCATACAGTGATTCCACCAAACGCCAGCACTGCTACGAAGATATCTGTAATCAAAATCCAGTAATCGCTTCATATCATCATGTGTTCCAAAAGTTGTCAGAGGATGCACCATCGTCCAGACCTGTTTGCAACCTGCCTGATTTTCCTGAGTTCGCCGTTCTCCAGCTACAGCTAAGCATTGGGTAACTGGAAGCCAGAATCTCGGACACAGTATTCGTCAAACTAATTCCCTACGGTTTTCACAAGACGACTTCTCTCCGTTCTTATGCACTTAGATTATCAATGAAGTATACCAATTTGATGGCACCACCTCTGGTTCCCATACACTATCTAGCAACTCCACCACTTTAAGTAGCAACTTCTCACCTACAACCTTGAAAACCTTAGCTGCAAAACCCTCAGGTCCTGCTACTTCCTATCGTTCCAGGTTACATACAACTTTCTTAACTCCAAGGACACTTGGAGGACCGAGAACTACATCACAATCAGTCAGGTTCAGACTGGATGTTAAGAAACTACAGTGTTGTTGAGGGCCAGTTGAACCGTGCTTCAAGATGTTCTGCTCAACGTTATGGCCGCCTGTCCTGTAAGGTTGTCAGCCTCCCATCATTCTCGGTGATGGTTTCACTCACCATCGTCTACTTCTTGACGGCATCTCTAATAAGCATAAACAGCTGTCGAGCGTTACCCACGGCTGATACATTCGCCATCTCTCTTGCTTTCAACACCCACCACTGCTCACTGTCGGCGCAAAGACTCTTGGTCACTTCACGTTTGAGTTTGTTTTAGCTCTTCATCGTGATCCGAGCCAGTTGGAATGAATCTTCTCGCATCAATCATTTTGGATGATGTCGCAGAAATCCAATCACGTTTGCTAACCTTCATATCTACGTTACCAATCGTCTTTGCCTCCGTTTCTATAGAACACTTAATATTACGCCAGGTTTCCTCAGGTTGAGCATTGCCATCATGTTCAGACAAATGCTTAGCTAATCCCTCCTTAAATGCGTGCTTGATGTTTTTTATCTACTAATCGAGGACAAACAGGCTTCACTCCTGCTTCTTTCTTGCAACCCATACGGCGTAGACATACGATACGAGCCCGTACTAGTGCGTGGTCTGATTTCTAACTGGTACTCCAGAAAGAGCGTCAATCCTCCACAGACTGCTTCAACGATGGTTTGCTAGCAATGTCATCTACCTGCGTTCATCCCTTATTTAATGTCAGCAGACGCTATGCGAGGCAGTGTCTCTTCTTATGCCTACAGTTAGTGCTGCTGATAAACAAGTGATTGTCCCAGCAATATCGCAACAGACGATCACCGTTGTCGACTCGCTGGTACAGGATTCTGTAGTGATTTTTAAGATGCTTTTCAGATTGGCTCAGCTTCCCTACTTGAACGTTAACGTCACGTGCCACCATAACCACTTCTGTACGTCTGTTTTCTGTAGCGAAATTGACAGCTCATAGAAGTTATCCGAACTACAGTCAGTGAGTGCGTATGCGAAGATTACGAATGGGCATCGCTTAGTTTCACAATAATTCCTAGTCCTTATAGATACATTCAGTTGAACAGCACATAGCTGTTGGCTGGTATCCAGTCGACAAGCTTATTTTGTGTTCTACAACTCAATTTTGTGCCCATACCAGCGAGTTCAGGAGAGCTAGCCACTGGGTCTCCGGATACTCTTAAGGTGGGGTTTTATGATTGACTGCTATGGCCAGGTGAGGTCTATCTAATAACCACACTCGGGTTCTGTATACGTGACTAAGAGACACATAATACATCTATGGATAGAGAGTTCAGAGTTTTGGGGAGCGACGCTGCCATCTTTTTTTTATCCAAGAAAGGGGTTAGAAAAAGTCGGTGTTAAAAAAACACTTCCTCGTAACCCGCAGTTTTGCGCCACTGGTGTTATCGATTTTTTCTGTCTGGATGTATTACGATTAAACCCAGAACTCTTAGACTGGCTGTAACCAGTCTAAATTGATGCTGCTCGAGTACTGTGATCAAGTGAAAGGATGCATAAGGCTAACCTTTCTAATCTACTTTAACTTAGTGCTGACAAATGAACGCATTAGATATGAATGAGGCTACTAAAATGCATCGGTTGAAACTGTGATATCTTTTTTAAAATGATTGGGGGGAAAAAACGAAGCTTCCGACTGAAGCTTCTGAAAAGTACTCACCTTCCTAATATAACGACTGATCGTCCTGAAGATATACATGAAATGTTTAGCTGAGGAAGTATATCCGAGAAAGGAACAAGAGGCTATCCAGATAAAAGTCTCTTTTTCAGTAATATCATTTTCTGAAGCTGTAAAATCGTGGTTGTATTTGTCATAAGCAAGCCATAGTCTACTACTGAAAAATAGTTTAGAGTTGTATTTCAAGATGCAGACTTCATAAGAACAGGTGAGATGGACGAATGAATAAGTGTGAGATTTAACAAAGCGAAGACTACTTTTAGATGTTAACCGGTATGGTTGAATGTCTTTATAAGATTTGTGAATCAAATAAGGCTTAAAATAAGATTGGTAATAGTGAACTGACTAATTATAATAAATTAGAAGAACAAACGGTAAATGATAGGATGACAGATTGTACCTGCTTCACACAGATAGGGTTCAAATTGATGGAAACGTAATGAACACTACGCCAGTGACACAATTCTACCCTACTATTCAATAACAGACTCTGATATGATTGCAAGAGGTATAAATGAGATTGTGCATATTAAGAGAACCTTTACATATGGACAATGGTTCAATAATATCCATATGTATATGCTACGCTGAGGCATAAGAAACATAGAGTAGAGAATCCTGGCCATATCTTTATTCATCATCATCATTATCAACATAGGACCAGGCATTACTGCGTAACGGTCCGAGTTGCCACACCTCATATCAGCACATCAAGTAAAAAGGTAGTGAGGTGAAGGATGAAGATAAGTGAATGCAGTCAAAAGAAATATAAAGTACGAGAAGAAAGGAAAGAGGAGTGACAAAATAGTGAGATTCGGTATAGCGTTGTTAAGATGAGGATAATGTGTGTATACATCTGCGCCACTGACTTCGGTTCTGAGCCATATCACCTAGGGTCTCCAACCACTGGTTCCTCTTGTCCCGTGGACCCCAACCACCTAGTCTGCATCGTCCTACATGGCTTAAACCAACAGTCAGAGACTTCATACATTGGTGCCATGTTTTAGTCTGGCCACCTCGGGCCTTTTTCCAGCCTGAACCCACCTCAGCCAACATTGTGTGACGAGGCAATCGGTGACTAGGCATACGTAGTACGTGTCCCAACCATCTCAGTCGATGAAGGTTCACAACCTCGTCGACTGACTTACCTCTTCTCCCTAAAACTCTACACCTAACTTCTGCATTACTCACATGGTGACACCACGGAATACGTCCTATACTACGAAGGCAACGGTGGTCAAACACCTGTAACCTTCTCATGTCTTCCACTTTCAATGGCCATGTTTCACAGCCATACAGTAGAACAGAGCGGACTGCTGTGCAGTACACGCGACCCTTAATAGACAAACGAATATCACGGCGGCGCCATAGGTGGCGCAAATTGGCAAAAGCCAATCGAGCCTTTTGTATCCGTGCAGAAATCTCATCGGCAACTAACCCACCAGGTTGATCCTACTTCCCAGGTAAGTGAAGTGGTCAACACACTCAACCACTTCACTCTCTATTGTTAACCGCGGTACCGCTGAAGACCAGTCCTGGAGCAAAAATTTGCATTTGGGTGGTGAAAATCGCATCCCAAACATTCTCAAATTCCCACTCAAAGTGTTCAGAAGACTCTGCATCTTGTCAGCGTCTTCACCTAACAGGACTATGTCATCTGCATATTCTAGATCTAAGGAAAATTCACCTGTGATCGGGTCAACGTCTTTGTAATTAGGTGACGAGAGGGAAACCTCCATAAGAATATCTATGATAAAATTAAATAAGAATGGGGATAGTGGGCATCCTTGACGGACACCACTTGATGAGTATAGCTCCCTGGACAACTCACCATAGGCTCTAACATGCCCACAAGTGTTCGAGTAGAGAGCTTTCAATAAGGTGATGTACTTACTAGGCACGCCTTTCAGTGACAGACACTGCCATAAGACTTCTCGATCAACGGAGTCAAATGCCGCCTTCAGGTCGAGAAATACAGCTATTGTCGGGCGTCTGTAAGCATGCCTATGTTCCAGGACCTGGCGCAGTGTGAATATTTGGTCGATACATCCACGGCCAGGTCTAAAGCCTGCCTGGTTTTCTCGGGCTTGCTGTTCCCGAGCTCCACTCAGGCGTCGGAGAATTATAGAACTTAGGATCTTAGACACTATGTTTGTCAGGCTGATTCCTCTGTGGTTATCACAAGAGGACTTCTCGCCTTTCTTGAAGACTGGGATGATGAGTGACTTAGACCAGTCGGAGGGGATCGTATTTGATTCCCATATACTGGCTAACACTTCCGTTAGCCTGACTAAGAGAACTCTACCACCATTCTTGTATACCTCAGCAGGTAGTCCGTCTGGTCCTGCTGCCCTTCCCGTTTCAGGCTACCTACCGCTTTCTCAACTTCTTCTAGTGTTGGGGGACCTGTCTCTATGTCCCATTCAGGGTCCGACTGGATAGCGGGCAGCGCAATGGTGGCTGGAGGCCAGTTAAACTGTTCCTCAAAGTGTTCTGCCCATCGTCCCAGTCGCCTTCCCTGCGAGTGAATCGCCGATCCGTCCTTCTCCGCTATAACCTCACTAACTGTTGTTGACCATTTCCCCCCAGTCTCCTTAATAAGTCTAAATAACTGTCTACTGTTACCGATCGCCGCTGCCTTTTCCATCTCTTTAGCCTTTGCTGCCCACCACTGTTCACGATCGTTGCGCAGACTTTTCGTCAGTTATTTTTAAGTTGCGCTCGCTCTTCATTGTACTCAGAGCCTGCAGGGATGCATTCACGTGCATCCATTAGTTTGGAAGAAGCTGCTGATATCCACTGGCTCTTTTTAGCCATTATCTTGGAGTCGGCTACAGTCTCCAGTGCTGCTTTTACAGTAGACTGAAGATGGCACCAAGCTTCTTCTGGATGAGTGACAGTCTTTTGTTCCGATAACTGCCTAGCCAACTTCTCACTGAACACGGCTTTGGTGTTTTCGTTGTCCAGCAGAACTCGTAGTGGTTTTGTTGCCAAATTTTTTCTACGTCCATTGAGACGCAGGCATATACGTGCTCGGACCAACGCATGATCGCTGTCCAAACACGTACTCCAGAAGGAGCGGCAGTCTTCCACCGATCCTCTCCAGCGATGACTAATAGCAATGTGGTCTATCTGTGTCCATCGCTGAGTCGAGCTCGGTGGACGCCAGGTCAGACAGTGCCTTTCTTTATGTCTGAAATTTGTGCTGGCTAAAAATAGGCGGTTATCTGAGCATAGTTGTAATAGGCGATCACCGTTATCTGTACGTTCAGCTGGGATTCCGAAAGTGCCACCTAAGTGCCTTTCTGCCTCACTCAGTCTACCCACCTGTGCGTTGAGGTCACCTGCAACAACCACTACGTCCGAACGTTTGGCTTTCGAGAGGAGGTTAGACAGTTTATGGTAGAACTCGTCCTTCACTTCATCCGAACTACAGTCAGTGGGTGCGTAAGCAGAGATTACAAAGAGACAACGGCGAGTCTCACTATTCCTTTTAGTTCTCACTGTGCCGTTCAGCCTCATAGCGCAGAGGCGACTATCAACTGGGATCCAGTCTAGTAGTGAGTTTTCTGCCCTGGTGCTTAATGCTATACCTACACCTGCAAGACCACGAGAGCTAGCTATCGAATCTCCAGAAACTCGAAGGGTGAATTTTGCAGATTCACCAGATTGGTCAGGAGAGGTCAGGTGAATAACCACACTTGGGTCCTGTATGCGTGTCTCACAAACACAGCACACATCCATGCCCGAGTTGCTAGAGTCTTTGCCAACGAAGCCTGTTGGCCAATTTGACGGAGGGTGCGGACATTGAAGGCTCCAATATGTAATTTGGAGCGTGGTTTAAGGAGACCAGGGTTGCTGTTCTGTGGACTCAGATCGTTGTCGAAGGCTGCAGAGGTAGGAGAAATTGAAGATGATGCAGCATCATTAATTAAGAGACGTGAAGGAAGATTAGAAGGTAATGATGGAGGAGGAGGATAGCAGTCAGAAGAAACTTGGGTGCTGACAGAGTTGTGAGGGCGGTTGACACTTCCCGGCTGCCCACACCGTGGAAGGCTATTTCTTCTTAAGGTACCTGAAAGAGATTTGTGTGACCGCAGAGCCCATCGGACATCTGCTTGAGGCCTGTCACACCCAGCCTTTTGAGTATGATTATTTTGAATTTTTGTATTTTTGGGGCCGGATGGTCGAAAGGAAACGACAAGTGAACCAACACCGCCGGCCCGGCAGACCGTGGGGCGTGGTGGAGTGTGTTATTTTTGGGGCCGACCTTTTCTAACCCCCCCTTCCACTGAGAAGGCAGCATCAGCTTGGCACTGCTGGTCATCCAAGGGAAACACCTTACTGCTGTCACACCCCATCCAGCTAGCAGCAGTACGACTTCGCCCTCAGACCCCCATCATAGTGTAGCAATTTACACTATAACGGTAACTGCTTTTCGTCTAACCACTACCCAACAGACCTTTCTGGTATGGTAGGACCTCGAGGGAACAAGCGTTCCACCAGCATAGCTCGTTGGGTCATTGTGATATGCAAGCGCGACCACCACGTCAGGGTAGCCGCTATCTTTATTAAGTCGTTTGAACACCATACGAAGCAAACGCAATATAAGGAACGCTTTAGCCGCGAAAGCATTCTTCAGTTTTGCCGTGACAGTAACCTTCACCCTCAACTAAAGACTTTTAATGTTTTCGGAATTTTCCTGAGAAAGTTGTTGGCAAAACATAATCATTGAACTTTCTCTTTTCAGAAACTATAGTCTTTACCTTAGGTTTGTGGAATCATATAGGTCCAATAAGACAGAATCTAAACACTATAGACTAAAGAAAAGGAATGAAGCCAAATGTGAGGCAAAATGAAAAATAAAACTATACACGAAGCTGAAAGGTATCAGAACAAGAGGTTATACTGTTAAAACTCTTGTATTTCCCTTCGTTTTCAATGGGCTTTAACCAAATGGCCCGGAGAAAATGTGAATTAGCGGCCTAAGAAGCCATATAAAGACGATATGTAGGCGGCGGTGCCATAAAGATGTCCCACTAACTTAAGTTGATCGAAGGAGTGAAAGCCTAAGATTATAGCTTTAAATGAATAATACAAAGAGCAGATGACCAATTAATCCTATTTCATTTGACCTATTAGATGTATCGAAGCGTTGGTTTTATAAACAAATGCATGAAACAGGAATGAACCGATACCTGTTACGGAAATGAGGAAAATTCTACCACTTATAACACAAAGGATAGAGGCATTATAATTATACAGACCATGTATCAAAGTTTTCAGGTAGCATTGCCTGAGGTATTTATGGAAAGCAAATTGTATGCTAAACATAATCAGGTAAAGAATAATGGGATCAACTAAACTTTGCTGACGGCGAATCACGTTCAAGTATGCACCGACCAGTTAGAGTCAAGAATATGAGGGACAAAGTAATTATTAAGAGAAACAATATTTTATTCATTGACTTGTTTCACATGGGATAAATTCTTCTATATTTTAAACAGGTTTGTCATCTTTAAAAGGAAACCACTATCTGCGTTGTTACGTGGCCATATGAAACAATATCATTTAAATTATATTTCGGAAATTTCGTGTCGTGATCTCGTTAACGGTTTTAAGAACATTCTAAGTTGACTCTACATCTTTTCAAAGTTGTTTGCGTGCACTTCAGTTGACCGATAGACTAAGTGCTTTTTATGGACAATAGCTTGATGAGAGTAACCTGTTCCCGATTAAGGTATACATGACTTCCAAACGTGTTTTTCGCGGTCCCCAATACTACATGTTTCCGCAAATCCGTGAAGATAGCTTTTTCTGATTTACTCTCAATCGACTGAACATCCTCTTTCTTCGTTTTTCAATCGTATAGACCAAGAATCTGTGGTTTGCCAAGACAAATATATGTATACATATACTGCGTAAGTTGTAACTTATCAAGTGACATTTAAGTAATCTTCACAGGTTATATTCAAGTTTCCGAACAAGATGCATCTTGTTAGACTGTAGATGGATATATCCATCTATTCCCACTACATTAGCTCCTCCGAAAAATTCCACACGTAATTTGTCTACGCCAACTTTGTCATTATTCATCAAGTGTTTATGCGGCGTCACCAACATGGTAAGTTGACGATAAGAATAGCTTTAACATGAACTAACGAAAATGGAGAAATAAAGGGAGACAGTGGGGCAATCCATTATAATGGATATTTTGACTAAAGCCTTTAAGGAAGCATCAAGTAGGTGTAATATATAATATTTTGGAAGCCACAATACTTATTAACAACACCTCAGATCAGCAATAATCGAACTAACTTCAGTAACTTAATTTTTTTTCTATATACTTAAAAGACATTGAATTACTGGGGTTAATGTGATTATTTGCTGATTTGAAGTTGCAATATTATAGCTTCCGAAATACTAAGTGTATTAAACCTACTTAATGACTTGATGCCTACTTGAACGTTTTAGTTGAAATATCTATTATAATGCTTTGCGCCTTCATTTCCCTATTTTTGCGAGTTCGGGAATAAATAATTTCTAACCTGATTGGTTATCCTCAAGATTTCCCTTCATTAAGGTCTTCCTGAACCAATAAAAGTTTTACTGTGTGATATGTCCAATGAACCCGCTGAAATAGGATTACATTCGGCAGCATCACCCACGTTTTACCCACACCAATGAACGAACTAGGACTGACCTTGAAGTAGACCAAAGGTTTGTAATGTCCACTACTAGTTTCAGGTTTACACTATTAGGACAAGCGACCTGTGTAGAAAGTTGAAATGTTTTTATGTTACTGAAATCAAAAATTGTTCTAGATACCCTCACAGAAGGTGCGAAGTCAACATAATTCGCCAATGAGTCCCACTAATTGCCCAACTTTCGGTATTGTTAGTATGAGCGTAGAAAACTGATAACTTTCGACCTCTTGCATCTAGTTCATGGAGCCTGATTCATGTTTTCCAGTTCGCATCCTGATTGGAGGAGGAGGAGGAATTTCCCCTGCCTTCCTGCTTTTAGCTTCAATGGCGTGAATGTTTCTGTGGATTATTAATTGCAATTTTCAGAGTTTTAGGGATTGTCTTGGTGCGAACCTGACAGACGCAGAGGCCAATCACTAGTTATTCGAACTCGTCATATACCTACAAATACGGGACCAAGAAAGAATACAATAAAGTAGTCGGATGGATTAGGTTGTTTGCCGGGTCGTGCCAAGATACTGATGAGTTCCAACCAACTGGTTAAAGGGTCGATTACGAATAGCGCAACGTAACACTACAGCGTTCAGAATGGCGTGGATGCTTGACTATGTGCCTTTGCCTTGGCTATTCTAGTCAGACTATGAAGGTCGGCATCAATGTCGAATCTCGTCGAACCCTAGGCTATATATTCTGGAGAAGTGTGCGACGCAACAGAGTGATTGCGGAACTGCGGGTTTCTGGGAAGATTAGGGGTCGCTCGTGACTCCTGTCGCCAGAACTTGCTGAATGCGAATGGCGAGATTGCAAGAAAAGGTATGTAGGACTATCCGAAAGATAAAAGCAGGCAATAGTGTGGGTCTGGTTACTAAAGGGAAGAAGTATATAATGTAGGTGTCCCAGCGAGAGAGGTGGTGAGTGGTAATTACGAAGAAAGTACTGTTGGGCTGATGGAGCTAATAACTCGCTGACTACGTCCGTGGCAGAGTAAAAGAAATGACTTAACTGCCCAACCACTTTTTGAATGAGTCTGCTGAGGAGGCTGTGACTACAACTCACGGCAAGGTACTCCATAATGCATATACTCTCAAGAAGAGAAAGTTAGACCTTTGGTGTATGATGGGGTTTCCTTGTGATGACAGCCATGTTGCTGGCAGGGCTAGTTTGCCTGCGTGATTTGCCTGGTGGATGATTTTGTAAGCCACGATAATGTCATCCCTCTTTCCGCAATGCCCCAAAGTGAATAGGTTTAGATATTTCAGCCTTTCAGAGTATTCCTTCCCTCCTTATTCCCAAAACTGATTTTGTCGCAGATCTTTACAATTTCTCAAGAAGAATGTACAGTCTCTTGAGTTTTGTGGGTGTTACTCCACCGAAGACGTTTAGGCGTGGTCGTACGTAGAATTTGAAAACCGTGACAAACAGTTCAGGGATAGGAGCACCAAAATTTCCGCGCAGAACTAGAAAAGTGGCGTTCTCTCTGACTGTCACTTATTTGTATTTCGGGCTGGTATTCTGAGTGTCTGAGTAGTCAAGTCCCAAATCTTCTCTAATGGATGCCTTGATTTACCACTGTTAGTCAACCTTTATTGGAATTAATTGTTCCCTGACCCATGGGTACGGATGTAAATCACTTGCACCCTTTCAGGTTGAAGGTCATAACGTTTTCCGACCAATAGAGTTCAAGGTGATGCAGGCCATTTCGAAGTGCTTTAGGACTGACCTGTTCGTTTGCTACCCTTCAAATTTTGATGTCATGAGGCGGGTGGAGGGGGTGGTTGAAGAGGTTGCAGATCGATTTTGTGAGTGCCTCGCAGTAGTCCGCTAGGTCCAGCGGTCACACATCGTCACAGCCAGGGTGGAGCTTAGACGGTTTTTCCGACGCTTCTTCTATGTACTAAGAGCGTGGCAGAGGTATTCGTTGTTTATGGTTCGGTCGGTTTTATATCGAACCGGTACAGACTTTGTGTTGGTATTGAGTTGGACTTCGAAGTGTCAGCTCAGAAGCTCAGCTGTCTGTAGACTGCTCAGCACACTTCCACTAGGATGCGCGATAAGACTTACTCCTCTGCTGTCCGACTGCCCTTCCAACATCAGCAGTATAGGCTTTTGGCATTGCTTTGTAACTTACTCCTCAGGTTTATTTGGCAGCTAAGTCTGTCTCTGTGGTCTCTTATATAGCAGAGGTTGGGAATTCATTTGTTGTCTAAGAAGTTCGGCTTCCTGCGTAATGAATGTCACTCAACTGAAGTCTGCTTCTTGAGGTAGCCTCTCTGTCCCGCGTTTAGCCACGAGGTTCCCGCCTGCAGCCAGTCATCCCTAGCACGCTATGACTGACAGCCGCAGTGATTATTTCCTCCACTTGTGTCCAGCTTTCATCTCTCATGATACGAGTTTGGTCTGCAGGCCATGATGCCTTTATGACGCAATATCTCATGATTTCATCTTCCGCCGTGCTGTAGCAAGAAAGCGTGTTGTGTATCTGTGGTTGCAGAGCCTCGCTAGTAATCATGGTGAAAATTGTTACCGGATGATCACTGAAACCAAGAAGCAGTTTGATACATATGTCCCCTATGAGAACGTCGTCTTTCGGCGGAATGTAGTCCAGGCATGACGCATTTCCGCTAGGTCCCAGACGTAGGTTTGTCCAGTTCGAGAAATGGACTTACACACTCAGAAGATGTAACTGGTGTTTTCGGATCTTAAGGTGATGCACTGTCATATGATCAGTCCTGATGGGCCGGTTAGTGTAGTACAAATTGTTTCACGAGCAACTACCTAGGGTGCAGAGGGCTAGTATAGGACTTTACCCCAATCTGTGGTAAGATAGGGGAAATAGTTCGGGTCGTTCTTTGCAATTTAGTAGGTGTAACATCCAAAACCCAATTATCTTGGCATGAACGCGGGCAACAACTAAGCTGTGCCAAAGTAAAGCGAATCTGACAAGTTCCTGCATTCTACTGCATAGTTTCCGAACTCCCGTGAGCGACGCACGGTCAAAGGTTGGATGAACAATGCCAAAAGCATGGCATGTAATAAATCAGTGACATATTCATAACAAAATCTGTGATACTATCAGAGCAATAACAAGTTATATCAAAATTACAAAAAGGCCCCAACAGTTCCGCTGGGTAACAATGCAGTCCATGCGTTCTCGGCACAAAAATGCGCTATACAGTAAAAATCGGCTAAACAAATACAATCGTTAGGTACCTGAGAATCAATAGGAATACTTTAAACAAAAGGGAATCAAAAACTCTGCCTACCGTAATCAGATCGGCAAACAAACTTTTCCAGTAGCCAATCAAAGGATAGGCAGTCAAATGACAGCACAACCGTAAGTTAAACGAAACCAAACTGTCGGGTGAGGTAAGACAACGTCAGGTTGCCAACAGTCCAGCATCATACCACAGGTAAGCGAAGCATTCACGATAAGTCTCAGTCAGACAAAGACAAATAACTAGTTTAAGGTCATGGAAGACAGTCAGAAAACCAAATAGCATTACATCAGGTAGGGTCATGGGCAGAATATCCACAACGAGGGTAAATATATTCAAATAAATGTCAGTATTGTCAAGTAGGGTAATCAGACGGGATTTTCAGATAGTTTTTCCATTTCAATCAGGATGGGCAGAGGAGCCGTCATTTCTGCGTAACGATCAGTGTTGTTATACCTCATATGAGTGCCCTGGTGGATGGTTTAATGATCAAAGATTGACAGGTGGGCTAGTGAGCGCGCCTCCCAGTGCATATGGAGGGCACTGTCTCAGTGGTATTAAGGGTGGCTTTTAAGAAGATTCTAGGCACTCACGACTACACGAGTCTTTTTGAGGTCTGGTGGTAAGGGTTTATCTGGTTTTGTCAGTGTAGAGGAAGATCGGTCATCTTCTGTAAACACTAACTTCAAACGGCCGAGACTTATGCTGTTTTGGGATTTGTCCTGCTGCAAGCTTGACAGATGCAAAGACCAATCACTAATTATTCGGACTGGTTATATACCCACGAGCACGACACCAAGGAAGAATACGGCAGCGTAGTCGGATGGAATAGTATATTTCGATGGTTGTGCCAAAATACCGATGCGTTCCAACTATCTGGCTAGAGAGTCGAATACGAGCAGTGCGACGTAACACAACGGCGTGCGGAATGGCGAGGATGCTTGACCGGGTGCCTTCAGCTTAGCGGGTCCAGTTAAACTATCAAGGTCAGCATCAATGTCGAAAGTCGTCAAACCCTAGGCTATTGATTTCGGGGAAGTGTGTGACGCCACACTATCTTGCCCTCCTGATCTTTCAATGGCAAAGAAATTTATTTTCTTGTCGGGGACCTTGGAGGGTCCGTCGTATGGTGGCTGTAAGGGTCTACCTACGGCAGCACAACACACGAAGACGTGTCTGCAGTCTTGAAGTCGTTTATCCAGCTGCACCCGTCTACACTGGCTTCGTGTGGACGGGGGTCGGAGGCGACGCATGTGAAGCGTAAGAGTTTGCGCACAACTGTGAATGTGGGTATGGGTTGGATCACCACCATCTGAAGCGACCATCTCATTGGTGAAACGTAAGTTACTGCCGTGAACCAACTCGGCAGGCGTACGCTACATATCTGGCTTAAGTGCTGAGCGAGTGCTGACGAGAACCGCCGGCAGAGACTCGGTCCGTTTTATATTGTCGAGTTCGTTGGAACCGTTCTACTGATCCGCTTGAAGCTGGATGGTATGCAGTGGTGCGAATGCGTTTGCCTTCCAACAGATTCATCAGCTTTTGGAAGGTAACGGATTCGAACTGTTGACCCTGGCCAGTTGTCACGGTGGAAGGGCATCCAAACTGCGAAACCCATCTCCCGGCAAAAACTCAGCTGACTGTTTCGGCAGTAGTGTCAGACAACGGAAAAGCTTCTGACCAGCGGGTGAGCCTATCAACACATGCCAGTAGGTAGCAATAACCGTTGTAGGGTGGAAGTGGGATGACTGTCCAAACGGACATGGGCTAACCATGAGTCCGGTTTCAAGTT